AGGTGAGGGCTGAGATCCAGGACGAGGCGGGCATTCCGCCGGGTCAGCAGCGTTTGATCTTTGCCGGCAAGCAGCTGGAGGACGGACGTACATTGTCCGACTACAACATCCAGAAGGAGTCTACTTTGCATTTGGTGCTCCGCCTGCGCGGTGGCATGCAGATCTTCGTGAAGACCCTGACTGGCAAGACCATCACCCTTGAGGTTGAGCCCTCGGACACCATCGAGAATGTCAAGGCTAAGATCCAGGACAAGGAGGGCATTCCCCCAGATCAGCAGCGTTTGATCTTTGCCGGCAAGCAGCTGGAGGACGGACGTACTTTGTCCGACTACAACATCCAGAAAGAGTCTACTTTGCATTTGGTGCTTCGCCTGCGCGGTGGCATGCAGATCTTCGTGAAGACCCTGACTGGCAAGACCATCACCCTTGAGGTTGAGCCCTCGGACACCATCGAGAATGTCAAGGCTAAGATCCAGGACAAGGAGGGCATTCCCCCAGATCAGCAGCGTTTGATCTTTGCCGGCAAGCAGCTGGAGGACGGACGTACTTTGTCCGACTACAACATCCAGAAGGAGTCTACTTTGCATTTGGTATTGCGTCTTCGCGGTGGCGCTCAATAAATTTTCTCAGCACAATCTCAAAAAAATGATCTTGTATTCGTGTAGTTTATGTTATTAGCTTTGAAACAGCAAAGAATGTATTCTGTATAAGTAATATCCACCAATTAAAAAATGTTAAATCTGTGTGTTCAAGAGTAAGATTATGATGTTTTTCTTTGGTGGGGTAATGGAAGTAGGTAGGCGTAGTCAATTCCGTAAAAAAAGCAGTCGCTGGGAGATCGATCTGTTCAATTCGGGGCGGCGGAAAGGCGGCCAACTCGTTGCAACTTTGGAATTGATTATCGATTTGTGAAATATCAGTCGAGGGCTGGATAATTGAAGATATCGTTTTGTGTAATTTGATTAATGCATTGAAAATTTTGATTTACAGAGTCTATATGTGGTAACATTCAAGGCTATACATATAAGGCTATAAGGCTATACATTATAATTATACTTCTGCTAATGCGATATTTCTTTCAAATAAAGACATTTGATATATATTAGTTGGGCTGAAAACTACCGATTCATCTCGAATGGTGCACGGAGGCCCTGGTGTCCAGAAAATTTAACCACTCTCCAGCCCTGGATAGGCTCAGCTGTTCGACCTTCCATTCGAGACGAAAAAGTCAACAGGTTCGCGAAGCAAGTTAAATAAGTGTACAAAAATGGCAAAAGAAATTTCATTGGCTACAGTCAAGGAGCACAACAAGTCTGATGATCTCTGGATAGTTATTGAAAATAAAGTCTATGACGTCACCAAGTTTCGCTCTGAGGTAAAAGCGGAGACTGTTTTTTTTTGCTGGTTGATTGGAGTGAAGCAAAATGTACTCTGATTCCTATGTAATTTACAGCATCCCGGTGGCGAGGACACCCTCGACGATGTGGCTGGTCGTGATGGCACCAAGGAGTTCATCGAGGTGGGCCACAGCCTAGAGGCCAGGTCTGCACGCACCCAAATGCAACCACTTTCACGCGATTTCCTCCCACTTATTAGCGTCTCTTGATTTTTTGTTCTTTTAGGGAGATATTGAAGAAGTTTTATATTGGCGATTTGGCAGCTGCTGATATCAAAAAGAAAAGCCCAGTTAGGTGAGCAACGGGCTGCAATTTAACAAGGATAACTAAAAGAGCGCCTGCCAGATCATTATGGGTGGAAAAAAACCAATAAAACCAAGAACCTCATTCCCACTTGCAATAACAACACATCATCGTCATCAGCCTTCCCCCTCTTAACTAATCTTCTTGCATGACGCAGTCCACGAACGAATGGCTTGTGATGTCTTTGGCATATATTCAATAATTAGTCTCTAAAAGTATTCCATTGAAGATGTTTGTGTAACCGATTCTGTGGCCAGTATTTTTCCCAATCCTTACAGCATTTGTATGCAACACACACCACAGGGCGCTTGAGAAACGAAAAACTATTTGATCTATGATTAGAATCATTTCTCATTCATTTAACATGTATTGTATGCCCTATTAGTTGATCTGAAATGCACTTTTATTTGGTTATATATTTTTCACAGATTTGATAACAAATCGCTTGCTCTTTCCCCAAGATTTAAGTCATTCTCATGCTCCAAAGTAAAGTTCTACAAAAGCTAACTAAACATTATCAAATTGAAGAGGGACCTGTAAGTTTTGCATGTTTATTTATTTAAAACTAAATTATAGCACAAACAGAGCACTTGCAAGCAGTTATACTCTTGATTTACTAACACAAAATCACCTTGGAACTGACTGTTGCATGTTAGATTCGCATGATTTTTTCGGCTATCTTTCTGACTAATCACTTAACTTTCGAGGTCCGAAATGTTTCTACTTTCTTTTGCCTTTTCTTTTGTTTCTCCGCCACTACAAACACAGCACTAGTGCCACGCCCACAGAAACTGGTGAAGGCAGCTCCAGTAATGCTCTTCCCACCGCGCCCAAGCAATGTTGCATCCTGCATTAACCCACCACAAGAGTCCTTAAAGTCCCACTCCAAAAGCCTATACTTACCAAATTTAAGAATTATCTTTCCTAAATTTTGTAAAACATATTTCCTATTTGCCAATTCAAACAGATGCGCACACGTGGGACTGGCCCTGGGTGCTATTATTCTGGGCTTTGCACTTATCTATGTTATCAAGCGAGGAGGAGGACCCAAGCAGTAACCAGTAATCCTTACTGTCTGATACTTCCAACGTTCCTTTCATTCCGCCGCCATTGGAACAATTGGGAGTTTTAATGCCCGCATTTTGGATATCGTACAATAATGTCATTATTATATGTGTCGTTTGCAAAGAAAAAAACTCAACAAGTACCCGTGTATACATATGTACATAGCATTAATTTTTGAGATTTAATATAACTCCACTAAGCCATCGCAAGTCCAAGTGAGAGAGAGGGAGAGCAAGATATCTATCTATCTTAACAACTACCTATCTATCTGTCTACCTCTCCATCTATATCTATTGTCAAAGTTCTATCTTTAGTACACAAATGTTCAATGTATCATTCAATAAACCATGTACTCGTTTTGCACACAAAGGGTAAGCACGCACATTCCATTTCTCTTCTTTCGGGTGTGCTTTAAACCAGAGGTGGTTAAGTTACTCGAAATGTAAAAAAACACCTCGATACCTGGTGCTCAGTCAGTATAAATGTACAAATATTACTGCACTCTTTTCACCTAATGACAAATACTCAAGCAGTCTCTCTCTCACTTCCAACGAAGTACCATCCGCTATTCGTTATCCGCTCTATTCGCCAGTGGCTGCTTTACTGAACGGGGAAGAGAGTGGTCTGTGAGAGACTGAGCCAGAGACTGTGGGCTGTGGCACGATAAATTGTATTTTTCCTTTAAATATTAAAAAATGTCGAAATCAATATTGAAGTTCGACTTCGACTTTGTCTTCCAATTTTATGTTAATTAAATATTTGTAATATTGTATGGCTTAATTTTATCCAGGAATAATGGTTTTAAATATAGTTTTTAGGTATTTCCGACAGACCTTCAGCTTTCTGTTTTTTGAAAATTAATTCTGATCTTGTGTGGATCCAGATGCAGGTGCAGATTCAGGTCCAGTTGTACCTGCCTCCTGATCATCCTCCGCCTTGTATGAAAGATCTATAACGTCTTGTAGCTGCGACGATATGGCATGCTCAACCTGACGCTCGATGTCTGCAGTGTGCTCAGAATCAAAGAGGGCTGCGGATGAGCCGCCGGGCGGCTCCCGATGTTCGTCCAATCCACTTTGAACGTAACTGTGCTTATCTTTTAGGGTCGTCTCCTTTTTTGCTTCGGGAGGCAGATTGATTGCCTCCATGTAGCCCTTAGAGGCGTCTAGCTGGAAGCGGCCAGGATTTCGTCTCATGGCCTGGGAAGAAGTCTCCGGCCGGTTATCGTTATCGTCGAATTCGTCAATGGGCGCTGGACCAGGACCACACACATGCCTGAAGTCATCAACGGTTAGTCCTCTGGGCAGTTCCTCCTCCGTTATTATGCCCATCTGGAAGTTCCTGCAACAACGCACGATCTTCTCACCCAGCACGTCGTCCGAGCCCTCTGAATCGTTATCTGAATCGGAAACCAAACATCGTCCCACCTGCGTGTCGAGCTGGCAATGTGTCTGCTGTTGCAGATTGCTAATGGGTTCCGTTTTTGCAGCACTGCAGCAGAAATTATCATGTGGATCCATGCAGTGAATGGCCCAGTTGTCCAGTCGTCTGGCCGAACGAATGACCTGGGGAGTGGCCATTTCATCTACCATCTCGTCTCTTGTATCCATTGTGTCCGTGGCTGAGTGCGTTTTCATTTGATCAACGGCGACGGCATCCGCATCCAGAGTACCGGGGGACACCTGCCCATGCAGTGGTTCCAGCTCGTAGTCGTCAACGATGGCAAAGAAACAGAGGCAACGGCAGACACCGCAAATGTCCTCCCGCCCAAGTACCTCAATGGGACACTCTTCAGAGCCATGTGTCTTCCAGCGAGGAAAGTCGTAATCAGCCATGGAGCTCAGAGCCCCCTTTTTGTGGCCACATCTGGTGCACTCGTACATGTTGCTTTATTGAGAGTAAAAAACTTTTGGGAATTTCTATGTAAACGAGTTCTAGCTTGTGCCAAAAGTGTGAGAAAACTGAAATGCCCTAGAGTGTGTGATCGAGTTTCAAAACAAATCGAGTGGAAAAGTGGGATATGGAGGTAAAGAGCTGGAGAGGCTAAGCCCCACTGGAAGAGCGTTGAAATTGTCTTTGGGTGAGCACCGTGACC